ACGAGAAGCACTAAAATCGTTACGCTGTGTTTCTATATACCACAAATAGATAAATTTAAATTGTCTACGAACCAATCAAATGTATTGCAGATCCAGATTCCAGAATGATTAGCCTTGAATTAACACATAACCTACAAACCACTACCACGGAAACAGAACCACAGCCTACCGTTGGGTAGGCTGTGTGAGAACAGCATGGACCCGCACGGTAGAAATTAATTTTGATAAAATGGAAATGATTCTTATATCTTCAGATTCAATTATTCTGTCTTCATTTTGTACAGTTTTTTTGATAAAGATAAACTAGAAAGTTCAAAAATTTACTTTCTTGTGAATTGTGAACTTAAGTCCTTGATTGAGAAATTTAATAAGATTGGAAACCTTATTGAGAATCGCGTACCACTATAGGGTCCCAGCTCTAGCTCTAGATGTTTTTTAGTAATTTTGTGTAAAATGTTTACATACCATTATCACGAATATGGAGTAGACTAGTTCAACAATTGTTTAGTGATACTAAATTTGGACGATCGATACATGTCACATACTTTTCAAAATCTTAGGACCATCCTAAAACATGCTCGTTTTTATACATTAGATAACCAGTAGTACTAATTTCTTACTTCTCTCTACGTCGGCATTTGACGAAGGCAAACTGAGCAATTTAAATGCAAAAAGAGAACAATTTTGTAACATAAATTCCCCAGCAGCATTTTTTAACGTAATTGCTTTCTGCCAAAACTTAATGCCATCCTCAGGTACTTGCACATCATCAAATAATTCCTGCCATTGTACATTTAAGATCTGCCTATATTCAGTTTCCGAATCAGACAATTTTTTTTTATCCATGAAATGTAACGGTAAGTCTTTAAATTTTGGTCTAATAGGATTATTGATTACTTTAGGACTAATGTTTTTCACTTGAGAAAAAATTTTTAAGTGAGAGGGCATTCGCTTAATTAATTCTTGAATAAGAATTTTTAGAAAGTCAATACATTTGTTGATTGACTTTGAGGATACGGGAAAGACCCATAAATTAAACAAACTTGTGTATATATGGACTGTATTTCTAGAGTTTTAACTAACGGAGCATATGACAATATTAGCGTTATTTCTGTCATCTGTCATCCTCTCTTCACACGCCTACTCATCACGAGATTGTAGGATTGTCTATTTAACAACATTGTTTTTTTAAGTTATATATAGTTTCAGCTGATAAGTCTGCACGCAGCTTCAGCTCTCGTTCAAATTCAATACCTAAGTCACAATCTTCTACAGAAAAATAATTTCTTTCAAAGAACATGGAATTGTTTAGTTTCAGAAAATCATTATCGAAATTATTTAACAAGGCAGGTTTCATTATTTGCCTTGCAAACGTCCAGATATTTAAATTAACATCAGAAAAAGATTTGTAATAATCAATATTACTCTTTTGAAAATAGAGATTTAAGTTTTAAAATAGGTAATAAGAAAATTAGGATAAGTTTATTTTGCTCATTTTTAAATGTATTACTTAGTAGCTTTTCTGAATGACACCGTTCTTTGTCAGCATGAATGTTAAAAAATATTTCAAGTTCTAAATAATTTGACAAAATTTTGTCAACAGCACGGTAACGTGACAACCAACGTGTTTGTTGATAACTGAACAAATTTGGAAAACTTACTATCTGTGTTTATTAAATTGTAAATCTCTTTGTATTTATTCATTCTGATACTACTATACTTAAACCAATTATAAGTTACTTTCAGCAGAAAGTCAATTTCGTCTGAAAATATTTCGGACACTTTAGATGCACAAAGATGCAAACTATGACATATACACTTAACTAATATCAAATGAGGCAAATTAAAATTGTTCTTTAGCTGTGTGAATAAAGAATTATGTTCACCACACATGTTAGATGCACCGTCTGTTCCAATGCCCATTAAATTTTGCATGTTAATTTTTTTGGATAAAAAAATTCATAAATAGCTTCATACAAATCTGAAGAAGGTGTATGAATAACGGATACAAATGCCAAAAATTGTACAATAATGTCATTTTTGTTGACAGAGTAGTACTTAATGTTAATACATAGTAATTTCTCCATACTAACATCAGTCGATTCATCCACAATGATAGAATATGGATATTAAATCGTCCATTAATGAAGGGGCAATAACATTTTTGATGAGGGCCGAACATTTTGTGCGGTGTATGCGAAGTAATTCTTCGGATGTTTGCGAAGAACATGAAGCGGATGTCGATATATTATGAGAAAGCAGATTAATGATATTCGACAAGTGATCCACACTTCTTATAGTTGAATGGGCCGAAATGTAACTTGCTAAAATCAGTTCCTTTTTTTCATAGAATTACAATACACTGTCGTCGTACCTCATCATCCCGTGTTGCACTTACCATTAGGTTGCGGCTCTCAGGGTTTCTGGACATGTTATATGCTTCTCGCGCTGTCGCGCTGGACTCTGCTCGAGATGTAGCTAACCTGGTAATATTGCGCTTAGGCATGGCTAGGTGAGAGGACGCGATCTAATTTGTAACAACTTGTCGTTCCCTTAGATAGGATGTAAGAGAGGTTTGACTCTAACAAAGGGAATTTGGATAAGAATGATATGAGATATAGGATCGGTATTGGAAAGATAGGTGAAAAGTGACTTTAAGCGCCAATACGTCCCGCTATCTCTGATATTTGAGCTTAGGCGGCTATGAGAGCCGTTGATTAGGTAGTTTGTATATATAATTCTTATAATTATATATATCTAGAGGTAAACACTACGCTCATATAGTTCTGATAACTATAGGGGCGGTTTGATGCACTTCACTAGAGCTTATATCTAACACTTTATGATAGGGCTGGCTAATGGCCCGTGATTTGGGTCTGCCGCGGGTCAGAAATAAATGCCCGGGCGACGTTTTACCTTTCTTTTATAGATAAGAGGTAGGTTAGGTTATATATATATATATATTAACATAAATCTGACTCTAACAATAGGTTAAATGTGTGCGAAAGGCTGTAATAATGACTGTAGAGGCTTTAATGTCGCAACTGAGAATTTGGAGCGTCCCACACAGAGACTGGCCGGATACGTCGATCCGGTTAAATAACTGCAAATGCCTGCAGTTGACGGTCCATCTCGGTAGGTGATTCGCGGCCTTGATCCGCGGTTGATTCCCGGGTTTTTTCTACGAATTTTCTCCCTCTTCTTGACCGGTGCTTCCCTGCAAGGCCGGGGACCATTGGAAAGTGGGTCGAATTCTTGACTCCCTGGAAGGTGGCTGCTGGCGCGTTGTCGGCTTCGCATCGGTCGTCCTCGATGTGGCCTAACTCGTCTCCATCACCAGAGGGCGCATTTTTGATGATTTGCGGCTTCTCGCAGGTGGATTGGAAACATCGGTGATTTTCGTTATTTGGCTTGTTTGGCTCAACTGCGGCTCTGCGATGCTGGAAATCTGAAACATAGGTGTTTTTGTTTGTTTTCCTTGGATACTGCTGCTTCTTGGTTCGAGGCGGCTGGATAGTAGCCGGATTCGAAACCTTGTCGATTTCTTCCGTCTTCGCCCTGGTATTGATATCGGCTTGGCGAATGGAAGCTTTGTGTAAATTATGGCTTAGGACTTGGTTTGTGTTACTGGATATCGGACTTAGGACGTTGTCCGGGATGCTTGGGTCTGGATTGGAAACTTGGGTGAAAATCTTACTTTCCGTCCTGACAGCGACTTCGGCTTCAGGATTCGAAACATTGCGTAAGTTAATGCTCTGCCTTCGATTTCCCATGTTGGAAATCGGGCTTGGAGCTCTGTGCTGGATTTTGAGGTTCGGATTGGAAACATGGGTGAAAGTTTTACTTTTTCCTCTGACAGCGGCTTCGGCTTCAGAGTTAGAAACGTTATGCAATTTAATGCTTTGCCTTCGATTTCTTATGCTTGAAATCGGGCTTGGAGCTTGGTGCTGGATTTTGAGGTTTGGATTGGAAACATGAGTGAAAGTTTTACTTTCTCCTCTGACAGCGGCTTTGGGCTCGGGATTGGAAACATTGTGGAATATGTTTGTTATAGTTTCAGGTTTTACATAGAGGGCTTGTACTGGAGCGCTGCTCCGGGCGTTGGAACTTGGATTCGAAAGATAGTCGAAATCTGAAGTTCGCTCGTTCAGATTATACGACAACACAATTTCTGCCATATGATTTTGAACTCACCATACTTTTCTATCCTCAGTTGATTATGTGCAATTTTGGAAGCATGAAGTTTGTGTTTTGTTGTTTGGGCATGCCGCATTAGGTCTGCTCTGTGTGATCTCAAATCTGTAGAACATATTTTACAGCAACTAGAACCATCTTTTCCACCTGTTAACCAGCCTAATTTTGAAAAAGTGCACCACCACCACCACCAAACCATATAAATACATAAAACCACAACATGAATGACGATGTAATATACAATGGCACCATATCACCAGCCATCAAGCAACACAATACCGTTAAAAAAGGAAACAAATTATGTTATTTTCATATTTAAAGCTTAGATGCTATTGTATTAAATTTAATTACCTTTGAACTTCTCTTCGTTTTTCCACTCCTTTAAGTGTTTTTTGTTATACTTTGCCCATTTGCCCATTTTGGTAACAAAAACGTAAACAAAAGAACACAAGACCTTAGACCACTGTCAATCAGTTATTTATGAGACTCACTTCTACCAACCTACAAACCACAGACTCGATAATATTTTCTGTGGCACCAACTCGTTACCAGAGACCACAGAACATAAAAAAGAAACAGAAATACTAACAAGCGATTCTGTGATTACAAATACGATTGACTTATGTAGGGAAGAAAATATCAATTACTATTTTATTCAATATCACGACTATAGGACTTAAATTTCCATAATAATTTTATAGAGTTCATTGCAATTAAAAGATTCTCCAGTTAATTGGTAACACACAATTTGTTTCCAATGTGTTGATATCCCTTTTAGCATGAAAACTAATGCATGTGAGGCTAGTTTATTTTGTATTGTTTCCAGATGAACTGGACATCGTTGGTCTTCCGATACATGTCTTAGTTGAAGAATCAAATTGCAAGTCGGGTGTAATAGCCATTTCATCAAATAAAAGTGTGGCATGCTTTTCTTCTTCTTTAAGATTTTGCACCTGTAATAAAATTATTTCATTTTAGTATTACGTATTTCTAAAGTTTTACGGATAACTGACCATTTTACTGAAATATTCTATAAAAAGTGTTAAAATCTTTTTAAACTCATATGCTTATTAGGAGTATTACATATATGGTTTATCACCATTATATTTTCCATCTACTTCAACTGCCAACAACTAAAATTTATTAAAACTAGGGTGTGACCCGAATTTCTACAACTTTCATTAAACAAATAACATAGAATGATAGGCATACACTACGTAATTTTAGATTTCATTGAAAAAATTTCAAATTAAGATAAACAAACACCTTAAGCTTCAAAATCCCAAACACATCTTCAAGTATACTCGGAACAAATTTTATATTTACCATGTTGCAAGATTCGCATAAGGAAGTTGTTGACGTCGAATTTCCATTTGTAACTGTTTTTTCAGACCAAGATGTTCCTTTCCATTTATTATTTTCCAAAAATGCCATTTGATCGGGATTAAAAATTTTTACCAGGTTAGTCGGAGACTTTTCTTGCAATTTTTTCTCATAGTAACGACATTTGCGTAATGCCTGCCTTAATCTTGTTCTTAATTTATGTACAAGACAGTTAATATTATCAAAGGATTCATTTAGTAATTCACTATCACTATAAAATGATTCATCCGCAGTCTCCATAGAGAACTTCTCAATGGTGCCTTAAATATACAAGGTAGCGCAAAAGTTGTCACCCGATGTTCTTTGACTGTAATTTTTTTAATGAATGAAAAACTTTAGTTTTGCTTATGGATTGTGTTTATTTGATGTCTAATTTTTTTTTTCAATAACCTCTTCAGTCCCGAAAGTAAAACAAACCATTTTTTAAGTGAATATCTTTATTTATTAGATAATTAGTATCGGTATAACATAAATATAGTACAAAATAAATATTTTTTTCTTGCTGATAACAAAAAAATGACGTATCATATATGATACATTTGGCCCCAAAATAATGTGTTCCTATTTTGAATGAAAATTTTTAAAGCAATTTCTTTTTGCTGTGAAGCATAAATATACTTTACAAAATGAACATTTACAATATGTAAGATTTTTACATCCAGGCATTCTACATCTAGAGCGCGAGTGCGAATCCGAATCCATTTCTAGTAAATGGACAGCCCCGTCAATCCTTATGTTTCCGTGGGGAAGTGGAACAAAAGGTTTCCTATCTTGTTGATGAGGAACGATATTTTCTTCATCTTCATTATGAAGGGGTTGAGGATGCAGCAATTCTGAAGCGATTTTCATTTTAAAATCGTAGTAAGACATAATGTCTTTTTTCAATATACCATTACTTTTTGCAACACCTCTATACTCCAACCAAGCTGCCACAATGGAAAAATCAATATAATGGGGAATATCCCTAATTGTCCATTTTCTGGTTCGTACTCGCATCGCATATTTTGCAATTGTACGATCCAGAAGATCGACACCTCCCATATATTCGTTGTATAATTTAACAACTGCTGGTCTATCTATATGTATGTATTTCTTGTCTGATTTAGACCATCTTCTCCATTCATTTGGAGGTGTGTATCCACATTCAGTTGATGCAAGGAAAATTGCTTTATTATCAAACCATTTTGTTATCATGATTTTGCTGTCGTCAGATATCAACTGGTCGTGACTGCCTCTACCTTTTTTTTTCAGTACACCGTCAGCAATAAAATTTGCATTTTTAGGGACCCTACTTTTCATTAGCGTGCCTGTAGCTTTTATAGAATGTTCTTCAAGAATTCTAAACAATGCTATTGATGTGAAGTATCTATCTACGAAAATTGAGGAGTTTGACTGTAAAGATTGCGACAACTTCAACACAACTTTGCCACCTATGTCTAAGTTTTGAGGAGTTTTATATGACGAAGAAAGATCTGTGTCTTTTCCGGCATATAACAGAAAATCTAATGGCACTCCATCAGTTCGGGTCATTACAAAGTTTTTGAGACCCCATGGGGAAAGCTTGGCACAAATATACTATTTCATTTTTACAGTGCCTTGAAATGGCATCATCTGTTCGTCAATGCTAATATACTTTGGCCTTGGAGTAGAAATACAAGTTTGACGAATCTTGATCAATAAAGGGCCAAATTTCCAATATTTATCTTTCTTCTCGTCATCTGTAACAACATAATCATCCACAATTTTTAAGTTAGTTCTTAACCCTTTGAGGCCGGAATTAATTCGAAAATTGTGAAGTGAAATATAATGGGAATTTTTGAATAGAAATATGTTTATTAACATAACCATAAGTTGAAATATCACTTAAATAAACAAAAAATATACAGGATTATCCTGCAGGACGTGGTTACTAGTGCTAACCACTAGGAACTGAATAATACAGGTATCAAGTTTACTTTGCAAAATTGCAACTTGACAAATGAAAAAACAAATGACGCAAAATGATTCTTTTATTTTATGTGAAACAGGGCAAAACAGTTCCTGTCTTTATTTAGGCATAGCCCCACTTGACAGGTCGTACATTTCCAAATCGTTCTATGAACATGTTTGAGGGTACTACATTTAGCACACCGGACTGAGGTTGATCTTTTCTGCATATGAAGAGCTTTTCCATAACGTACTTCGTATGGAACAACCTTTTTGAAATTACTTGGAGGTCGTTCTAAAGAAGGTCTTCCGGACTTGGCAGGTTCAAAAATACCTATAAGTCCTCGCAACACAGACATTCTAAATTGTTTTAGTGTAAGGGTTTTGCAATTACATCTTTGCAATTGGAAGAGAATAAAGGCATTAACTATGGTGGCATCAAGAAAGTAAAAAAGAATCAGATGCCACCATTTATGAGCCTTTCTGTCAACTTCATAATGGCTTTTCATCATGTCAAAACGGTCAACATACCCCATATGAGTATTATAATCCCGAATCATCCTTGGACACGGTATCTCTTCCGCACAACCATTTTTCTTTTTTCTGGAAGTAGTCTCCATAATTGAGGGATCATGGTAGTTCCCTAGAAGTAGGACACTTCGGCGGTCCATCCATTTGAGGGCAGCTATTCCATCGTTTGAAACACGCCAATCAGCCTCCCCACGTTTCATGGCTTTGTCTGTTTTGAGTTCGGGGAAGTGTTTACGCCCTTTTCGAATAGTTCCACAAGAATGTATTTTATCAGATTATAACTTTCGCTGAAGTTGGACAGAATTAAAGTAATTATCGAAAAACACCTTGTGATTTTTATCTACCAATTTTCGAGTGAGATCCATGACAACTCTATGGCCCAAAATTTTTTCTGTTACTTGATCAGCCTTGCCAGTATAAATTTGGAATTCGCACTTGTATCCTGTTGAATCCGCTCGAACCCAAACTTTGTAGCCTCGTTTGATAGGTTTCATTGGCATGTATTGGCGGAAGCTACTACGCCCTTTGAATCTTATCATGCTCTCGTCCACGGATTGAAACTCGCTAGGCTTCATGGACGACATAAATGTTTCTTGAAGCTTAGAGAGTAGAGGTCTTACCTTATATAGCTTGTCGTAGTTTTGTTCACCTTTTTGTGGTTGAACTGCGTTATCATTAAGGTGAATATTACTCAGCAACCAAGCAAATCTATCTCTACTAATAACGGAACTAATAAAAGGATCTCTCATTTCTTCCTGAGAAGACCAGTAATCTTTGAAGCTTGGTAGTTTTTTCAAACCCATAAGGAGATTAACTCCCAAAAAGATTTTAATCTCCTTTGCAGTTGTTGGTTTGAAATTTCTTCCTTCACCATGTCTCTGAAATGCGTAAAGGTTGATTTGGAATGTAATGTGGGTGATCAAATCTTCTGGAAACAAATGCAAGAATACGTCTGTCGGTGTCTCAATATCATCAGGCAAATCCGGACCAGTTGCTTCTGCGAAAGCACTTGGTTTCATAATGTTGGAAACATCGTCAGACCAGTAATCTGGCAGGAATATATCAGGTCGTCTGGCGAGAGGGATATCATCATCGCTGTCCCAGTGTAAGTCGTTATTGGAACGTCATTATCCTCGATAATTATGTCCATATTTTCGATGTCAAAAACATCGCCATTATTGGAAGCATCAGGTGTCGGCAATTCATCATTCATAACCTCGTCTAGATCTTCTACAAGAGATTCATTATCGCTCGGTATTTCGTCTAGAAGATCGAAAACACGACCTGGATCCATATTTTCGATATCAGACAATTTCCAGCAAGCCATATTATCTGAAATGCAAGGAATTAAATTACAAAATATGCTCCACCACATTTGTTGTCAAATTTTAGGATTAAAAATACTTTCATACAATCTATTAATATTAGGAATATTAAGGAAAAAAAATAATTTTTTTAAAGTATTATATATTCCTAGTGGTCACCATGGGAAACCACACAAAAATCTGCTCACGTCAAGCTCATTTAGAGAAATACAGAATATTTTTTACAACCGACAATAAATATGCATATGTTGGAACACTTACATGCTATTCTTAATGCAAAAATATAACAAAAACTATGAAAAAATTCAAAACTAATACGTAACCTCAAACACGCTCTTAACGCTATCAGTGCAGCTAAAGACGAACAAACATCGATGCAATGCGCAAGGACAATAAAATGATCTGTAGGCAACACATTAAACACTGTGGTTAACACGTACTACCGGTAGGAAAATAATAGGGTGGATATTAGTAATATTGTTTTCACTGATAACCAGTAGTCCTCAAAGGGTTAACTTGAATAATCTATCTCTAGTCATTTTATCAGCTATTATGCTATATCTAGTTTCTCGCTCCCAAAACATACGGGTTCGTGGAAATCTCAACAAGCAAGTTATAATACTTATACCCCAGAAAGTTTTAATTTCCTTTTTATCAGTATTCAAAGAAACTCCTTTTGTTTGCACATGTTTCCTATTGGAATACAAAGCCATATTTATGAAAACGTCATCATCGATATATTTACGGAAATAATCAAATGGCTCTAATAAATTATTTGAATCTAATTGAGGATTTTCGTCAATTAATTCTCGAAAGTTATCGCTTCTAACCCAGGGCCTGACGTCGTTGGTCGACTTTGGAAGCGGGCACCGGGAAACAGTTGAGCAAGCGGCACGTCATCATCAGAGTCTTCTGACAAAGACAAGTTTTCATCAGGGTGTGTATCTGGTTCCCATCCATCATCAGATTCATCTGGCAAATTGATATCTAAGTCAGAATCACTGGCATACAACAACTCTTCTAGTTGTTGATGAGACAATTCTGAAATATAAATTATTCTTTCTTAACTAATTGCAACGTTATAGTCCCAATATTTGATATATAACAAAAAACTGCACTTATAGGCAACCATGTTGTAGAGTCCTAATGTATATTACTTGATGCGTGAAATAAAAGTATGTGTACAAGGTAAACATAATTTTTTTTATATAAAATTTGCCACTTGGCATATAAAAATAAGTGTACATTATATTTATTTCTTATAAGATAAATTATATCCCAATAAAAACACTGACTTACCTTTATTTGAAGATAGAATTCTATTTCTGGAGCTAGTCGCCAAGTTTGCAATGCTCTAAATGTCAACTACTGAGATTAGTGTCACTGTTTCCACATAGATGGCGTTGTTTACAACATATATTATATGATATAGTAGGTCTGAACATAAAATTAGTGATTTTTTTTATAAAAGAAAAATGTTACCTAACGTATCAAATGTGATACGGGGGGGACTGAAGAGGTTAAGCAGAAGAAATGATATCGACCAAGTGGCCGCCGCCAGAATTGATGACCATACGTGCCCGATTTATGACATTTTTCATCATTCTTGCCCGAACTTCCGGCGATAGGTTCCCGCATTCCTGATGGATATTGTCTTTGAGGACTTCAAGAGTCTGAGGCTTGTTGACATAGACTCATGACTTCAAGAAACCCCACAAAAAGAAGTCTAGAACTGTTAAATCGGGCGATCTTGCCGGCCAGTGCAAATCACCATAACATAATAGATTAGGCGACCCGGAAATGCAGCCCTCAGAATTTCGGTTTTGGGTCGTGCAGTATGCGCTGTTGCTCCATCCCGTTGGAACCACATGTTCTCCAGTCCCAATTCGTCCAGTTGAGATAGGAGAAAGTCGTTGAGCATGGCTCTGTAGCACTCGCCGTTCACAATAATCGTTTGGCCCGCGGCGTTTTCGAAAAAATAACGCCCGATGGGGCCTCCAGCGTAAACACCACACCAAACAGTAACTTTGAGCGGGTGTAATGGCTCTTCGTTCAGAATTATCGCTTCGGCCCAGAAGCGATAATTCTGNCCATGTTGTAGAGTCCTAATGTATATTACTTGATGCGTGAAATAAAAGTATGTGTACAAGGTAAACATAATTTTTTTTATATAAAATTTGCCACTTGGCATATAAAAATAAGTGTACATTATATTTATTTCTTATAAGATAAATTATATCCCAATAAAAACACTGACTTACCTTTATTTGAACACAGAATTCTATTTCTGGAGCTAGTCGCCATGTTTGCAATGCTCTAAATGTCAACTACTGAGATTAGTGTCACTGTCTCCACATAGATGGCGTTGTTTACAACATATATTATATGATATAGTAGGTCTGAACATAAAATTAGTGATTTTTTTTATAAAAGAAAAATGTTACCTAACTTATCAAATGTTGTGATATGAGGGGGACTGAAGAGGTTAAGCAGAAGAAATGATATCGGCCAAGTGGTCGCCGCCAGAATTGATGACCATACGTGCCCGATTTATGACATTTTCCATCACTCTTGCCAGAACTTCCGGCGATAGGTTCCCGCATTCCTGATGGATATTGTCTTTGAGGACTTCAAGAGTCTGAGGCTTGTTGACATAGACTCGTGACTTCAAGAAACCCCACGGTTAAATCAGGCGATCTTGCCGGCCAGTGCAAATCACCATAACATAATAGATTAGGCGACCCGGAAATACAGCCCTCAGAATTTCGGTTTTGGGTCGTGCAGTATGCGCTCTTGCTCCATCCCGTTGGAACCACATGTTCTCCAGTCCCAATTCGTCCAGTTGAGATAGGAGAAAGTCGTTGAGCATGGCTCTGTAGCACTCGCCGTTCACAGTAATCGTTTGGCCCGCGGCGTTTTCGAAAAAATAACGCCCGATGGCGCCTCCAGCGTAAACACCACACCAAACAGTAACTTTGAGCGGGTGTAATGGCTCTTCGTTCAGAATTATCGCTTCGGCCCAGAAGCGATAATTCTGCTTATTCACGTATCTACAGAGATGGAAATGGGCCTCGTCGCTCATGATGATTTTCGATGAAAAGTTGTCTTCCTCGTGGTGGAGATTCAGGATGGCTTGAGCGTAAGTTACACGCGCTTGGCGGTCAACGGCTAGCAGCTGAAGCACTGTCTGCACTTTGTAAGGGAACATCTTTCAGCAAAATTCGCGGTAAAGACCGCCGATTGATGCCCAATTGCGTGACACGTCGTTTGGTCGATACTCCGGGGACCTCTGCGACATCTTCAGCCACAGCCGCGATATTATCAGCAGAACGGCTGCTCTGGGGCCTCCCAGACCTGACAGCATCTCGTATTGTCTCATACTCTTCTAGGCGAGCAGCTAAACGCCGTAGTGTTTGCCCAGTTGGTGTCGGACGACCGGGAAATCTACGTCTAAATTCACGCTACGCCAACACCACCGACGAATTATTACGCAGAAAATCGAAACAATTATTACGCGTTCTTGAGGAGTATAGCGATTCATGTCTTATTGATGTGTATTCTGTATATGTTTACTTCAAAAATGTCAAAGCAGAACTGACATTTACCGCCATTTGCAAAAATTATAGCATCTTCCGATAGGGTGATGACTTTGTTACGTTTGATTCTATTATTTTTCTTATTAAAAGCCAGTGAATGTTTCGGCATGTAAGGCAACACGTTTAAACGACAACAAGGCGGGGTGAATGGCACCGACTGCCAACGGTATGACCGTTCCAAACGAAGTACACGCCACTCCTCCTTTTCGACAACTCGGAGAGGCAAATAAACATGCCAGGCACCTATCTTTTTGAGTCCAATCGGCTGCTTGCCGGCCTCCGCGCTGCCCTGAAGATAACAAAGCCGATTCCACCTCGCACCCACGCGGCACTGATATTGCGGCAAACTGGATAAGCAAAACACTCTGTACATAAATTCAATACCTCGCCAGCCTCTACACGTATTTGGGTCCAAAATAGACCACTCCGCCTCACACGGGCGTTGCGAGGAACTGAAACCAACTACTGTCAAAGTTCACCAACGGCACAAACAATGCAATTTACTTAAACAACCTATGTTGATGTACCAAAAGCTAGCTTGGATCGAATGCACGACGTACATGGGATACGCTTCCATGCTAAACTCCCACTGACTAGCAGATCCTCCCGAACCGATATATACAGGCTGTCTACTGTAAGAGGGCCCCTTCTATGTATCTCGCTTAATATACGTCGCACGTCAAAATGTTTTTTGTTACATTTTTTGAGGCCTTTATGCCTGTAGAAACAAATTTGAGATCCATGGCCAACTTTGTGAGTAATCATAAAAAAACCGGAAAAGTACCGAAAGTTTAGGGTCGTTTAACTTTTTTATTTTAAGAGATAGAGAAAACTTATTTTAATAAAATTTCATGGCAAAATTGATATCTTNACTTGCCTGGCTTCACCTGCTTCTCCCTATCCCTGGCACGCTCGAGTGAATCCAAATTTAGCGCCACCTAGTACAAGTAAATTAAATTTCAATTTAAATATTAATACTTATGTAACAATTACTTTCACCAGTGGTCAAATCGCCATCCAACTTATTTTGGGATGATAGATCGCATGCTATACCGACATCATCATTAATTGAATGATCTGCGTTTTCAGCACAGTTCG